TACGAGATTTGAGTTTGTCTCACCAGCGATCCACTTCACAGTTTGTATCCGGGGCCGAATAAGAAAGCACAATCTTTGAAAAATAAAAAATAAAAAAATACATGTTTTAAAACTACTACAGTGTGTTTGATACTGACAATCAGCTCCATTTAACACACGGCCGCCATAGCAGAGGTACACATGCAGGAGGTAAGACCCACTGATCGCTCGTGCTGTAAATCGGCTTGTGATCCACCTTGTAAAGTTTGTCCACTTCATGCTCCTGTAATCACATGTGAGGAAAGCGTACATTTTACCATGTGTCACATAGTATGTTCAGTCTACCTACATTTATACAAAACATCAGGTGCCCAGAAGCAGCACGTACTTTGAGTGTCGTGACATTAGCGATCCGATCCAAGGGGCTCATCAGATCCGCCTCGATGAACAGGTCCTTCTTGCCCGGTAGCTTGCAACAGAGCACGAAATCAGTGCTGCCGTTCAGCACAATAAAGGTCGGAGCCCTAGCCCAGTGTTTCCCAGTCCGGTCCTCGGGTCCCACACCTGGCCCACATTTTTGCTCCCTTCGAGCTCTCTATCAGATAGTCCACATTTTTGCTCCCAGGGCTAGGAAGGAGAAAAAACATGGACTGTCTCTGGGTCCCCGAGGACCGGACTGGGAAACACTGCCCTAGCCTACTGATTTGGATAACTACCTGTTCAAGCAGGTAGATGAGCTGGTCCCTGGCGATCCTCTTGAGGAGGGAGAAGTCGGGGAGGTCGGGGGCATCCTTCCTGGAGCTGTGCGCCATGGCGGCGGTTGGACGGCTGACGGCCCTCAGTCAGCAGCGGCAGTATGAAGGAGCATCTCGGGGCTGCAGCTCTAACATGCGGATCAATGCACAGCACATTAAACACAATATAATGCTTATTATAGGCTGCCCTTCCAGCCAGCCATGCTGATCACCTGCCTAATATTACTACACTTATATGCTGAGTAATAATATATGCTGTTCGAGTAATGGGTGTCATTATGTTGGCTGCTAATTACAGGGTTGTCAAGTTTGGTCAACTGACTGACTTGTGATTTTCAGTTCAATAATTTTCAATAACCTTAACCCTAAGTCTGCATACACAGGCACACGCATTTACATGTATGTAACAGTTTCATTACCGTGCAAATAGTCTGCCGGGTTTGCAAACCACCCCAACGCTTTTGGTGCAGCTAATTTTAGTTTTTAATGGAATAATATAGATTTGCCGTAAGATTTCTTGCGTGATCGTGAGAATCTGAAAGTGTGATGGTCACGCCGGATGCATGAGAGTCGGCAGCTCTGTTATTATTTTATACTTTAATTCCAAATGTCTGAATGACTTATCTCACTATCCGACTTTACACAGAAGGAAACAGACACCGTATGACCCAGTAATTTTAAACGTATTATTCGCACGTCAACTAGCATATTATTTCCAAACAAAGAAAACAAAATAAATAACATTATAATATAAAATAAAGTCATAACGAACAAAAGCTTACCAGGGTTGATTGAAAATGCAGATTTACAATCCTTGTTACATTACGAGACATCTATTCCCAACAGGTTATTATAAAATGCAGAATATGCACCATATTGATCTACATGCACACTGCGCGTGTATCTTTGTATATATAAATATAAACGGAATGTTACGTTAGTATCAGGCAGGCGGCTGCGGAAGCAGGTTTAAGCTGCACTGATACAGTCTGACAGCCTCCCAGCTCACACACCCGGAAAGGCTGCATATGTGACCTGGTAGGACATGTCATAAAAAAATAATCAGCCACACTTCGGGGACTAACCTTTGTTCGGAGGATTATTTCGTAGCTGTGAATTATCCCTTAGACGTGTCTACCTGGCTTGTATATTTCGCGATCACGTATCGTCTATGAAGTCGTTGCTCACTGGTTTGTTAATCATTTAAATCTCTTTCGCTTCGGCCTTTTTGTTCGCCTGGGGTCTGAACCTCGTCAGCGCAGCTTCACGCTGGATGCTGGAAGGACTAAAAGGCGCCGCGTTTAACCAGGGCTTGACTTCTCGGTAATTTTTGAAAATACGTTACGAACAGTTGCGGGGCGTTTCTGGCCAAATCTTAGGGATAAAACATGAATTCGGAGTCTGCCTTGTTACTGGAGACCGTAAACTTCGCAGCGGAGAAACACAGAAACCAGCGGCGGAAGGACCCGGAGGAAACTCCGTACATCAATCACCCCATAGGTGGGAGTAAATCCCACGAGTTTCGAAGGGCGCTGACGTTCAAACGAGGGCAAATAGAAACTGATTTCATAAATGTAATATATGGTTTCTTTTTCTTTCTTTCTAAAGTAACCTTTGCCATTTTACCCACCTCTTTGTTTTCCTGTAGGGGTTGCCAGAATTTTAAGCCAGGAGGGTGGAATAACTGACATTGAAGTTCTTCAGGTGAATCTGTACATCTCGTCATTTAATAAGAGCTGGATTTAGTTTATTCTCTTCGAAACTTGCCGTCAGGTTTTCGCCTAATTATTATTCTGCATGCAGAAATGTGACAAGTTGATCTTCACTTTGAGCCCTTTTTCCAAGGGAGCTAAAGGAAAGATTCATTTGGATAAAGCGACTACCATCCCAAAACTGCAGCAATGCAAAGGGTAAAATTTCTGTGTTTGTGCCCTTTCTAAAGGCAGCGTTGCTCCATGACACGGTGGAGGACACCGACACCAGCTTAGCTGAGCTGGAGGCCACCTTTGGGCCGACGGTGGCGAGGATCGTGCAGGAAGTGACAGACGACAAGACGCTGCCCAAACAGGAGAGGAAGAGGCAGCAGGTGCTTCACGCGCCTCATTGCAGCCATCAGGCCAAGCTGGTCAAACTCGCCGACAAGCTATACAACCTGAGGGACCTCAACCGCTGCACTCCTGTTGGTGGGTGTTGGTTCTGCTCTGCCCACCGCTAACACATGGATATTGGTTTGTGTTTTGAACAGATCAACGTAACTCAATAGTCAGTCACTGGGGGTGCGGGGTAGCTAGAAATTCTGGGCCCTCTGACTAAACGTCACCCTGGGATTTTGTTGAGTAGGCCCCAACGGTAGATTTTGGGGATCCTGTAAAAGCGCTGGGCCCCCTGAATCTGCCAGGGTATCCATGGCCAACTTATGTCCCCTACTGGGGAGCCCTGGAGATCTTGTGGATTGCATTTCATGTTATTATTCTGCCAGTATTTCAGATATTTTTCCCCCCCACTGTCCCATTAGGCTGGACTGCAGAACGGGTTCAGGAGTACTTTATATGGGCGGCAGAGGTGGTGCGTGGACTGCGTGGGTCCAGCATGGCGCTGGAGGGAAGCCTGGCCCATCTCTTCAAGCAGCGGGGCATCGAGATCTGAGGGGTGGCGCTCGGTCTGATGGCCGACGTCACACGGTTCTCCCGTCGGGAGGCTCCCCGTCTTGGGATTTCCTTGCCGTTCTGCCACCAGTGAATACGGCTCCATTTGTACATTCAAAGGCACCTCGATGTTTAATGTACTGTGACAGCTGTCTACACACCACTCGACATGAAGCATTTACAAGCTGATGGTGCGTTCGTTACGGATGAAATGTGTTTAAGTTTTTAGATAGCTATTTACTTTGTGAGTGGAAATAGTATTTTTCATCTTGATTTGTTCATTTCTGTGATGGCAGAGCATTTGTATCCACTGGACACCACAGAATAAAATGCAGAACACATTTGTCGTTCGTAATGACAGTAAAACAACAATTAAAAATTAAAGTAAAAGCAGATAAAATGTCTCTGTAATTAATTAAATGAACTAATATTCTATGCAATTTATAATCTACTTTCCAACCACATTTCCACTACAGGGTTATATTAAGACAACTGTTAAAATGTAGCCTATATTCCTGCTTTGTTTAAATGCTAAATTTAATTCTATAAGTAGAAGCTGGGTACAGCTGTCAAATTTTAGAGCAAAAGAGTATTTTTCATGGCTATCCATCCATCCATCCATCACCACCCGCTTGTCCGGGATCCGGGTCGCGGGGGTAGCAGCTTCAGGAGATACCCAGACCTCCCTCTCCCCAGCTACCTCTACCAGCTCCTCGGGGAGGACACCGAGGCGTTCCCAGGCCAGCTGAGAGATATAATCCCTCCAGCGAGTCCTGGATCTGCCCCAGGGCCTCCTCCCTGCAGGACATGCACGGAAAACCTCTCCGGGTAGCCGCCCAGGAGGCATCCGCACCAGATGTCCAAACCACCTCAACTGGCTCCTTTCAATGTGGAGGAGCAGCGGTTCTACTCTGAGACTCTCCCGGGTATCCAAACTTCTTACCCCGTCTCCAAGGGAGAGCCCACACACCCTGCGGAGAAACCTCATTTCGGCCGCCTGTATCTGTGATCTCATTCTTTCGGTCATTACCCACAGCTCATGACCATAGGTGAGGGTAGAAACAAAGACGGACCAACAGATCGAGATTTACCAAACACAAACTACATGAAACAGCCATATCAACATACTCGCTCAGTTCTGAAAGTTTACAAAGCTGCCTACTGTATAAAAAAACTACTAGTTTTATGAAGGTTGATGATATTCTTCTCTGTGGAAGTGTAGAAACCCCAGGCTCCCAAATTGAGGTTGTGACTCATCACAAAACGGTCATTATGCCTCAGAATTGGACTGGATAGATGGACAAAATACAATGCAATCTTTACTAATCCCAGGGGAAATTCCTGCATGTTTAATTGTGAATCAAGTTCAATTCCTAAATTTAATTTCACGTTTTCTCAAATAACCTTGAGGTAAAATGTTACAGATCAATAAAAAAATCTTTAAGATTTGCTAACTTTACCATAACAGAACCTCATTCTATGTAACTATTATTGTCTGCACAAATATTTTCCATATAAATATAAAAACTAAATATAACATATTTACTGTTGTTGCTCTTAGTATGTAACCTTTAACTCACGGCAATGGTACTTTTCCCAAATAGTACACATCTTCAAAAACTACAGAAATTTCAAACCAAACTTTAATGTGGTTTCCAAAAAATCATATAAAAATTATGCAACATTGTGTTTATGGAAAATTCTTAATAGTGGACAAAGCCTTCCAAACAAAATGCATTATGTGTATTAAATTACAGAGGTGGACAAGAAAATGCGGATGTCCGAAAGAGCGAAGTTTGCACAGCAAAGCCGTCCACCACCGTCCATCAGTCCGTGAGGGCAATCAGAGCCTCCACCACGTTGCCCATGTGCTCTCGCAGGCTTCGCTCCGCCAGCCCCCGCGGGATCTCCATCTCCCCCATCTGTCGGTTACAGGTCGTAGGTCAGCAGGTCTATGGCACTGGTCTGTTCTAATTCCATGTTAAGTGTTTCTTGATAAATGATTCATCACCTTACACAGTTCTCTTAAAAAAAGCAATAAGGTTTACATATTGCACAGTACACATAAAAAATTCTGTACTTACTATGAGCTCCACATCTTCCTTCTTGATAGTGACTTTTGCAAGCTCCTTTTCTCTAAAAACGGATTAGTGGAAGAGGGGAAAATGAGTGACGAAAAAAAATCCACTTAAGTCCACTTACATATGAATCAGAAGACAGATATGTCTTTACTGCTGAAAACCCACCGCTCTTGCTTTGCTTTCTGTTCTCTTGATCTCCTGTCACCGATCACCGACATAGCCTACAGACCAAAAGCCGCATGTTAGACTATAACCAGCTTGAGACCGACAGACGATACCTTCCACGTTAAATCACATAAAACCATTTCCCCTACAACAAATAACAACTATACGTATGACACAGGTAAACTAGGGTTAAGTAAAATTATGTTAAGAATTTGAATGAATTTTCGTAAATGGCCCCATGGTAACTCAAAATCAGTATACAAAGATGAGGTTCTCAAGTGTCCCTTGGTATCCCAGGCACCGCCTAGGCCGCTGGTTATCCAGCACACGCGTGTGTGCCCAGTCTTACGGTTTCCAAGTCGGAGCTGGATATCTCCTTCTCCTCCGCATAATCGGTGACACGCTCTAGGTCGGCAGCTCCGCTGTCATGTTTACGAGGTTTTTCTGCTGGCTTTCCAGTACAATTCTCTTCGGCTTCTAGGTCCAAATCCACATCTCCTTCTGCCGCCATGTTTACTATCACAATACCGGAACCAAAAGGAACACTGAAAATGCAGAAAAGCACTTCGGACCGAAAATCGTGTGACACCAAATCACGTGGTCTAGCGTTGAGTTACCGTAATGATCCTTGTAGAAAAGCAGTGTACTATATGTCCTGTAAGGACGGCAAGAATGCAATGTTCTCTATATTGATGTAAACTTGTACCAGGCCTTGTCTTTCTATTGCAAAAATAGGATTTTACGAATTTTAGCAAAATAATGCAATATTAGACGCAAATATTGTATTTTTTTAAAGATGAAATACCATTATTGTGTGATATGTTAGAATCCTTCTCCCATCCCTGGGTGTATCAGGCGCCCTACACAATATTAGACAGAGGTGGACATTTCAGGTCCAGAAAGTAAAAATCCAAACCAGGATTTTGTTTCAACCAACCAGTTGAGTACTCTGTGACTGTGGCTCTATAT